TTAGTTTTGAACTGCTGAACGTATGACCTCTGGGACAGTAAGAAGGGGCACACAGGTCTTGCTCATATTGGTAGTTGCTGGTGTTATTAACTAGTGAAATACACAGTATAATAGTAAGCCTTACAGTTATTTTTAGAACAGCACTGGTGACAAAGCACACTGGATTACATATGCGAGACTATTCTAAGGTTAAGATGTTGTTTAAAAACTGGAGGCATTTCTTACTTTATAAATCCTTGTATGACAGAACCTACTTTAATAACTGGGGGAGTTTCTTGTAATACAGATCTGTAGATGGCTAAACCTGCTAGAACAGTTCCTAAATTGTTAGGTTGCTAGAATGTGACATTCCTAAAAAATTTCAGGCATGTGCTTAGGGTTTGATTCCACCAGATGACCACAGGATGTCATAGCAATGAACTTAAGCTCTCTGTTAAGTTGAGAATAGACCCAGAACGAGAGCTGTAGAAACCTTCTGAAGGACCTTAGAACCTTTCTGAAGATACTTTTTTACACAGCACCTTCATTTGCTAAGTTACTTTGCAAAAAAATACCCACAGTTTATCAGTTACAGCTCTTCAGCAAGACAGTTCCCGTTGTTTATAAACACATTTTTTATTTCTCTTTACACTAAGAGTTTGTATGTTACCAGGAAAACTACTAGTATATTAAGGCTATCAATAACAGCCCAAAGTCAGTAGCTGACAACTGAAGAAATAACCCTAACAAGGCTTTAAAAGCAAATTCCTCAGTATGAGAAAGTGGGTTTTAAAGGTGATAGCAATCCTGTGGACATCGTTCTGCCAGTCCTTAGGACTTCAAAGGGAACTTAGGTTCGGAGGTGTATGAACATGCATCATTCTCAAGGATCTTGGGCTGATCACCCACAGCTGAGACCTCCCAAACTGCTTTCAAATCACAGACTAATCACTTTTTTGTTTCAAGAAACAATTTGGTGAGGAGTATAAGCTTGAAAGTGCATGCCAGCAAATATTTTAGTCCTTCTGACTCAAGGGAAACAAGTAAGTTTTCAGTGTATGTTCCCATGCTTTTTGGCTTCCTGCTATCAGGCTACACTGATGTAACATCCTATACTGTTGAGTTTTTGACATTGTGTAGGACATAAACTGAGAGAGTAAAAATTAACAGTGAATGAAAGTTCTTTGGCCCAGCATTCATGTAACTGTATCTATAGTTCACCAAAGCAATGTCACAGGGGCTTGCATAAATAAATACACACATAAATAAACACACATTTGCATAAACAAACTTCTTTCTTTACAAATTGCATTTGTAAAACCTGATCCAGCTTTTTTTTTCCCAGCTGCTTTTGAGAGAGAGGAGGACTGAACTGGACTTCAGAAAGAGTATCTTTCAAGACAGAATTTGGCCTTAAGCAAATTTAGCCACTGGCACATTATTAGTGCATAAGCAATAACAGAGTTCTGTCATGTACTGTTAATATCTCAAAGAAACTGAAGCAAGGCATATACAGTCTTACATTAGAAACATCTGTTATTTTATATCTTCCTTCAGTTTATGCTTTTAAATTCTAAGGGTGCTAGAAGCAGCCTTCCTTGCACTGGGTAAAGAGCCCAGCTAACTCTAAATAGAATCATAGAATGGTAAAGGTTGGAAAGGAGCTTAAGATCATCCAGTTCCAACCCCCCTGCCATGAGCAAAGACACCTCACACCAGACCATGTCATCTAAGGCTCCATCCAACCTGGCCTTGAACACTGCCAGGGATGGAGCATTTAACACTTCTTTGAGCAACCTGTTCCAGTGCCTCACCACCCTCACAGTAAAGAACTTCTTTATATCTAACCTGAACTTCCTCTGTTTAAGTTTAAACCCACTGTCCTTTGTCCTATTGCTATAGTCCCTGATGAAGAGTCCCTCTCCAGCATAAATATATTTAGATCACTTATTTTTCGAGCAGAAAAATAGTTATTTGCATTATTTTTATACTTTCTTCAAGTTTCTTTATAACTTACTTCAATCTGTTATAACAATTTTTGGTATTTAAAATCTTGAGTAAAGGTTTTAATAAATACCTTATTTTGCATACAGGAAAAGATTAAATACAGGTGCGCTTCCACTCCTAAGAGCAGTGTTTCTTCCTTCATTTCTGTTTTTGTAATGGGATAAATACACTGTGTTTCATTTTATTTTGCTTTCCAGGAAAAGAAACCTTATTTCTAAAAACAAATTTCAACAAAAATATTTTTACCTCTTCTTGCCACACTTGATAGTCTTATTAAGAAGATGCATTTAAAACTTTGAGATTTAGAAAAGCTCACATGCTTACACTAGGATTTACATAACATTTGTTAAATAGTAACTGCTTTTGAATTGAAATTTTTCATATACTAAACTTTGCAAGTAACAATTACTGTTATTAGACTGCATTTTAACTAGTTACACACAGTAAAAGCTTCACACATTTGGGGAAGGGATGATGGTTTCCTGTTGATATCTGCATAGCAAGATTTTCTATTTACTCTAAAGTGAAAGGGCTACAACGTGACCAGCTGAAGCTTGAAAATCTTTATGAGAAGGAATGATTATGCCAACAAAATGCCAAGAAGTTATAAGCACTTAATGCACACCCACATCCCCTGCTGAGGAGTGACAGCCAGCATGGATTTGTGAAAAAGCAATGTCAAACCAATTTAACTTCTTTTGAATCAGAGCAGGAAGACTTACGAATACAGGGAAAACAGCGTTATATATGCTGACTTCAGTAAAGCTTTTCACAGTGTGTCTTTATGACTTACCCATAATTTGGGGTATCCTATAGCATACTGGATGATCTTTAAGGGCCCTTCCAACCCAAACCATTCTATGGTTGTATGATACCCATAAGCCACAGAAACATGATCCAGATTAAACTCTAGCATTGGTTAATGGCCTAATAGTGAATGGTCAGCACAGAAAAATGTATCAATCACATGGCTTCTGTCCAATCCTTGTATTTACAATCCAGGTCAGGGGATACACACTGCACATAGCAAATTTGAAGTGACAACAAACTGAGACGGGACTGTAAGCGTGCTGGAGGTCAAGAATAAGATTCAAAGTGATCTTGCAAATTAAAGAAATTGTTTGAAAAAAATTACATGTTATGCAACAGCAAAAAGCACACAACAATAAAAAAAGCTGCACAAATACAGTTGAGGGTAAAAAAGAATGCCTACGTGATCATTCTGGAGAAGCAGACCTAGAAGTGATGACAAGTCGTACAACTATGAAAAATGGAAACACCATGTTTGCCTGTATGAAAAGAAGGACATTCCAAAACCGTTCTTTTTTTGAGGAGAACTGTCATACCTAATGCCTGGTAAGGCAGGAGCACTGTGTCCAGTCTGGGACATAGTTTGGGATGTACAGCTATTTTTGTTGTGGTCAAATTGGATATAGTTCAGAAAAGATTTCTGTTTATTCTCATTTCTCTAGATCATCTGATCAAGAAAGACTGAGTAAAGGGGACATGCTGAATATAAAGCGGAGCTGAGGAGAACATGCCTGCAAGTACATGGAAAGGAACTGCAAGAGGCAGAGAAACATCTGTCCCCTATTTTCGTGAAAAACAGAACAAGTAGTGATTGCATTAGGCTTAAGAAATTCTTTCAAACCAAAGAGATAATTAAACACTGGAGTGTAACATCTGGTGAGGTTGTGAATTCATCATCAGTAGAAACTCTTAAGAAACAAGTAGGCAAACATCTGTCAAAGCTAACATAGTTGATCCTGCCTTCAGGCAAAGAAAGGACAGGATGATCTCCTGCAGCCCCTTCCAGCTGCATTTAATACATTACAATTTCCTTTGTATATACTTCAAATGACAAAACCCAATATTTGAGTCTATTTACAATATAGGTTGCAATTAGATTTTTAGGGAAGTAAGAAACTGCACAAATTCACAGCTCCTGCTTCTGAGGTGAGAACAAGAAGAAGAAACAAATGCTGAATAAGGACTCTGGTTCTCAAGCTATGATGAACTGAACTACAGCTCTTAGATGTAGATACCACTGCTTCTAGCTACCTGCCTCTTCTTCCCTCCATGCTATCAGCCTCTGTATAGCATAGGGACAAAAGGAAAGATGGGCCATGGCTTTTCAGAAGACTTCACAGCCCCTTACAGTAACTGCAGCCGTTGCTGAGGTCAGATATATGCTGGTTTGCTAAGGGCTGGGGCTCACAAGAGTTCTCTTTTCCCTGCTGCTGATCACACTTTCTGATGAACATCAAAAAGACAGACAACTGTAGCTAGCACAGACACAGGGTAGTCTTCTGTCCTTCTCCTGTGATCCCAGCAAAGCCAAGAGCTGGAGCACAGAGGTAAATTAGCACACAGAGGTAAGTTAGCACACAGCTAATGCATCTCCTGCCCCAGAGATGGAGAAACCAAGATGATAACAGCAATCCATAAAGCACCTATTGGCTAATGGACATGACCCCATATAAATGCAGTGCTCCCCCTGGTTTGTTCCTGAACCACGTGTTTATAAAAGGTCCCTTTTTCATTGTGAGAACTCAGTACCACAAAGAATTAATCTCCAGAGTTTTTTCAGTTTCTGACTTTATATTCACTTCTTTTTGGAGGGCAGGACAAGTGCTTCTGAAGGCATGCTTCGCGTTTAAGCCTTTGTTGAGATTTTCAATTAAAATAGAATAAACCTTTTGGGATGAAATCAGATGTGTCTCTTAATTGGCATGGCACATTAAACACAAATAAACACATTGTATTGCTTGCATAGCAAAAGCCAAGAGGGTATTTTCTAAGCATTCCCTAGCAAGTACTGTGGTGCCTTATTTTCTAACTCACTGCTATGCTGACAGCTTTCAAGCAAAGTCATTAACATTTCTATCATTTCTGTCTTAGCTTTATAAGCAAATTAATTTCAAGCACGTTTCTCGTTTATAATAAAAATAATAAAATGCATATTTTTAGTCCTTTGTCTTTTCTATGGCTGTTTTGTGAAACAGTCTAGTCATGGATGAATTTTCTACCAGAGCAAGGCTCTGTCATCTGCATGTCAAGAATTTCATTACTGCTCCATTAATGCCTTGAGTGCCAGTATAGAGAAATCTCTCTCCACTGCTATCTGTAGCAAAAGATGACTTCTGTGCTATCTATTTGTCCACTAGCAACTTTCGTTTTCGAGAGAAATCTGGTCGCCAAGAGCTAAAGCAGGGAGAGAGGGATGAGGGATGTTGCAGATGTGGAACCTGAAGCAAGCCCGTTCTGATGGCCACCAGGGGGAGAAAACTGCCACTGGGATCAGGAATACTCTTATGGTCAGTTTAAAGACGTTATCTTTATTCTTGCTAAGACTTTCCAGAGGCTTAGGTCCATCAGTTGTAGTAGCAGTCTTACTGAATTAGTTAGGAGAAATAACGCATTTTAGTTTTTCCCTGAAGTACTTTTAAACCCTATATAATACAATTTTACTTAATAAATATAAACCTATTTAATTATTACATGGATCGTAGAATCAGAATAATTTGGGTTGGAAGGAACCTGTTAATGTTGCATATTACTGTCTTTCATAATTAATAATGTCATTTTTAATAGGTCCAAGTGCATAGTAAGTTATAACTTAGCATGAGTTAGTACCAAAAAATATTGCTGTACATGAAATGAACAAATCTATTTAAAGCAACTGTACAGCATAACACATACTTACACCTTTGCCTCTTAGAAACTCTGTATAAGAATAAAGAAAATAAAAAGAAATACACCTCACTTAAAGGTCAACTTGATACTCAGAGTAATGTGTGCTCACACTGAATTCAGAATGTAAGGGAAGAAAAAAATTAGGAGGGTTTGCATCTTGTTGTAACAAATAACAAAAGAGAATCTTACATTAAATGCTGTAATGTGGGCTCTTCCCATAGTATTTTATGGATATTATACGTTGCATCTCTCATTCTGAGCATGTATTGAGAATGACTTCTTCACATACCTTCTGATATCGTTTTTTCCACGTTTAAATTCATTGTGGGGAAAAAACACAGAAAATATGATGCATGGCACAAAAGCAAGTTTAAAGAAGAGCTATTTAAAATACTGTTCAGTGCACCTTTTTAAGAGGCAGGGGTCAAATTTAAAAGTTGGCATGAATTTTTAACCACGATTAGGGCTAAAGCTCACTACAACTCGCAGTCAGGGACACGAACTTTGGGTCAGGACTAGTTTTGGGGTGGGGGATAGGTAGCCTTTCGCTTTACTAACCAAAAAGCTGGAAATGATGTAACAGCTAAATGTCCACTAGATGCCAGGCTTCCTTTGCGGAGCAGAGCAGCCGTCCCGGCTTTCCACCTGGTTTATACGGCTGGCCTCTTTGAGTCAGCTCTCGCTTGTGTAGTGGACACAGGCTTCAGTGTTTAGCACCAAATCCTGATCCCATTCAGGTTCTATGGCAAACCCTCCGGATTTTTCTCTTGTATCTCCCAGAAATTTCTGAAAGGCAAAACCCTTTTCAGAAGGATTAAAAATAGGAGTTGTCAGTAAGAAGAATTACGTTTTTTTCTGTGTCCCTCTTTTCTGTACCAGCAAAAAGCTCACAGTGAAGAGAACGGGATGAGTTTTGTGATTGACATACTCAATCAGCAAACAAACCTAGCTGAACAGTGGCAAGGAAGATTGCTGACTCTGCCTCCTGTTCTCCTGGTGCCATCGTCGACAGGTAGGTGACCTCCAGCTCTGGCTGTCATCAAATATGCTAGGTAGCAGCTCAAAATATTGACTTAAAACTACACTGGGGCAATATTTGCTTTCTGATTATCTCGCTTCTGTTGTTGAGAGTGGCTTCCAGAGTGCAAGCATCCCCCTGCAAGGAGGGAAGCAGGGGATGATGGGCCAGTAGTTCTCCCACGACCACCAGTGTCTGGGGCAGGGCACACTATCTCACGTGAAGGACCAAGACAGAGCACTGGCACTGGGCACACCATGCTCCAGCAGTACTGCACACCTCTCTAGGAGGTCACAGCTGTTCATGGTGCTACTCCCTCATGCTGGCACAAATTCAGGCTTTTATGGTGGGATTTGGGTTACCTCTAGGAAAATGGCATGGCAGTCAGAAGCCACACTGGCTCCAACTTCTAAAGAGACTAGAGCTGTGTGGTGCTTACTAAATGGAGGGTCTGGTGATCTGACTTACTGATCATTAGAATCGTAGAACTGTTGAGGCTGGAAAAGACCATTAAAATGATTGAGTCCAACAGTTAACCTAGCACTGCCAAGTCCACCACTAAACCATGCTGCTGTGTGCCACATCTCAGTGTCTTTTAACTACCTCCAGGGATGGTGACTCAACCACTTCCTTGGGCAGCCTGATTCAATGCTTGACAACCCTTTTGGTGAAGGAATTTTTCCTAATATCCAATCTAAATCTCCCCTGGCACAGCTTGTCCTAGTGCTTGTTCTTGGGAGAAAATATTGACACCTCCTCACTATAGTCTCCTTTTTTTGTAGTTATAGGAAGAGAGGACTCCCCTGACCCTCCTTTTCTCCAGCCTAAACACTTCCAGTTCCCTCAGTCGCTCCTCATCAGACTTGTGCTCTAGGTCCTTCACCAGCTTTGTTGCCCTTCTTTGGTAATGCGCCAGCACCTCAATGTCTTTCTTGTAGTGACGGGCCCAAAACTGAAAGCAGTATTCAAGGTGCAGCATCACCAAGTGCCTAGTGCAGAGGATCAATCACTTCCCCAGTCCTGCTGGCCACTCTGTTTCTGACCCATCAGTTCTGCTGTGAGTAGGTACCTTAATTTCAAAGAACTGCTCGCAGGACAAGAAGATGCCCAATTTGAGTAACGGCCTTTGGCAAGTTTCAAGCTACAATAGTTAGATTACCTTTTGCTAACTTAGAACATTAGCTACTCAAAAATGACTGTTTATTATTCAGAAAGCCCTTTCTTGAATTCAAATTAGGATAATGAAGTATTTCTGGACAACAAAATAGTATGATTAATTTGAAAAAAAAAACACTTCTGAAAATAATAAATGCTTACTTCTGTCTAGGATAACATAATTGCCACTCTGTGACTAGCACATATTCTTCAGTTTCATTTAACTTCTTTCATTCATTGAAGGGAATTTTGGTGAGTGGACCAGTTTACAAGTATTCTGTAATTGCATCTGTATTTCTCCTCTTGGCTCTCAGGTTTTGCTTCTGGCACTATGGGACTTCTGTAGCTTCATGCCTTGATTTGCAGTGAGCATCCTGTGCAGCTTCCACAGATTCTAAGCAGAGATCCAGGTGCTTGAAGGATTTGAGAAAATCACTCAGAGCAGGGCAGTTAGTACTCTACTCACCTGCTGACTCTTCCCAGTAATCCTGCCATACACTACACACTCGAAACAACTAGGGGGGATAGAATAGGGCTCTCTGCCACTTTGCCTGTCATCAGCTTCCCAGTTGAGATCAAATTGCATTAATGTTAATGGTCCAGCCCGTCTCATGCTCAGCATTGTTGAATCCCTAAACTCAGCAAAACTCTGTGGTATTGAGTCAGAGTAATCGACATACGTGAAAGGATTGCTGCAGTATTAAACTTTGTCAACCCTGTGAGCTGGAGATTTATTTTAGAATTCAATTTTCCCTCTGAGTAAAAAGGAAAAATGATAAAAGCAGTTACTGGTGTCATATACAGGAAAAAATGTTGTTCTCTAAACATGTATATGAGGAACCAGCCGGTTTACACTGAGCAGATCCTCCTAGATAGAGACATTTCTTTATTCATGTATCTCAGTGAGTGGTAAATGAGGCATGCTCATAGAAGTTATTTGGGATGGAAATGAGTCTAATTAGTCTATCCAACTTAGGAATAACACTGTGAGGTAAGTCTGGGGAAGATGGGAGTTAGCAACAAAATAGCAGTGGAGAAACAGAGTTATGCGCTTTCCACAGTTAAGCAGAATATTTATTTGAGGCTTCATTTGACAGAATAAACAATAGATAAGGGGACAGTTCAAGTAGGCAAACATTTCTAAGAAACTAGTTTTAAAACATTCTTATTTGCAGGGTATCTAAGTAGCCTTTTACATATTCCTGCCTTAGTTTTTAACTTCAGAATTTCTTGTACAGTAACCAGTAAAAAGCTGCTCAGTTACTTCAGGGCTTTCTGAATGGGGCAGGGGCAGCTGGGCTCCAAACTTACATTGTACTAATAAAAACTGGTGTCTTTTAAGGTTAGTGAGGGCATACCACTGATTTTTAAAATAATGCTAGAATATGTACATGTGCTTTATATACTGACAAATCTTTTAATCTGCAAGAATCACATCTAGTAATGAATCACATTCTTGAAGTGAATAATTCAGCCCTTGACGCCAACCTCTGAGGGAGAATATTGTGGTCATGGTGTCTGAACAGTGTGGTAGCTATGGCTACCTATATAATTCTTAGCAATGGAAAAAAAAGTGACAATGACATTAAATTTAATCAGGTTCCCCTTTTCTGTGGTTCCCACTGGGATGAGCCACTAGTGTCTTGCCTTAAATATTCAAAGCCTTCAAAGTTTGCATGTGTTCATATACTGGGACAATATCCTGCTAATACAGAACAATGGATCTGTCATGTATTTTTCCTGTGGGTAGCCGTAAGTCTGAATTTAGTTAGTATAGGGTATTATGATTGCTGCTTCTTTAGTGATTGTCTTTACATTAGTCTGCACTTAGAAGGAAGAAGAGCAGTAATGAAATGTAGGGAAAAATACAATGAACATGGCTATTTTGGTTTGGAAATATGGAGCCAAGGACTGTGTCTTCTTAAAAAGATCCAGCTTTATTTCCAGTCACACTTCATCTGATATGAATGAGCTGGTACTACATATCACATGGCTGAATACATTTGAGAAACGCGACCTAACATGTATTTAGAAAAGAGAGCTTAGAATCAACCTAGTCTGATGCACAAATTCTTTGAATTTACATTTGTTAAAATTCATAAATACTTTGTGGGGTTTTTTCACACAAAAGAGCTGTGAAAATGTGACTTTTATGAATAGCTACTAGTGCAGGAACTTTCATTTCGATTTCCTTAACTTGCAGTGAAAGTCAGTAGTGAAAAAGCTGACTATAAATACTTGCGAGTGTTGATTTGAAGTAGGTATTTCAAAACATAGTCCTTAAAAATCATACATTTTGTTTATTTTTAAGTGGAAAAGAAGAAGGGTATTTTTGCTATTAATTTGGAGGTAAGTTTTACAGCAGGTAAATGTACCACAGTGAAACACTGGTGCCTATCACTCTTACAGTTAAAGACATTTGACAAAAAATTGTTCCCTTGCTTTACA